GGGGGGACCTTGTGACCGTCTATAAACTCACTAGGGGGGACCAGAAGGGTTTGGGGGAGACCTTGTTTCCCCTAGCGCCCCCCGGGATAACAAGGAATAATGGCCACAAGTTGTTGGAGAGTAGGTTTAGATTAGACATCCGTAGGAACTACTTCACAGTTAGGGCAGCTAGTATCTGGAACCAACTTCCAAGGGAAGCGATGCTGGCTCCTACGCTGGGGGGTCTTTAAGAAGAGGCTCGATGCCTACCTGGCTGGGGTCACTTGAGCCCAGTTTCCCTCCTGCCCAGGCAGGGGTTCAGACTCGAAGATCTACAAGGTCCCTTCCGACCCCTACTTCTATGATTCTATGTACATATATATAGCTAAATACCAAATAAACAACATAAAAGCAACTTGGAGTATTTTTCTTTTTTTTCCTGCAATTAAACATGCAGGATATTTATAAAACTATATTCATGTTTAGAAGGGTTGAATTTATTTAGGATGAAAAAGAATTTAAAAATGTATTTCCAGATGAGCAAAATGAATTTCATCTTCAATTTGTATTATGGAATGCTATTCATTCAATCTAGTGATTTTGGAAACCTATTCACATGCAAAAGGGAGGTGGAAGGTTGGGTAAGTGTCTAAAAGTCATTTTTTCTCATAGCTGTAGATGCTAAATGGCCAATAAAAGGTCCTTTGGAAAGGGACTGATTTGAACTAGCTGCTTTCTATTTGCTAGCATTATGCAAATTATAACCAGCTATCTGAAACTTTCATCTAAAAAAAATTACTAATTTGATAGCATGCAGAATTCTCTTCTCCATCCTAAATACCAATTTCAAATCACGATCCTGGAGTAATCAATGTGTGTAAGTAGAGATGTTATCGACACAACATAATATATATTACCAGGTTGGCATAGTTCATATGCAGCACCCTTCCGCACCCAAAAAAATGACACACTAGCTCTAAACACACAACGCTGGTCACAAGGAGAAAAATCTAGAATGCTATTGTGCCAGTTATAGTAAGATTTGTAAAACAATTGATCCAGTCAGTTAATATATTCCAAGTCATTTTAATTGATTAATTCAGAATAATTTTAGTTTTGAATGTGATAAAGCCAAAGTAGCATTCAAAAATATAATGTAAAATAATTTTTATTTTATTTACAAGTTATGTGCAATCCAACTTCTACTTTTTTCACCCAAAGTGTGTCAGATCCCAACCTGTTGAATAGAAATTCTGTGCGAAACATTTCCAAAGGCATTTAATAATTTTGAAAACTATTACCAACGAGGCACCCTTCAATATTATTTTTGTAAATAAAGTTACACAATATTTAAAATAGTTTTTGTTGTCATTCAAAGGAGAATTCCAAGGCTGCTACACTGTACAATTATACCTTTTTCTTAAATTCACGGTTTACTGAAAGTTATCCTGTAATGGATAATTACAATCCAAAGTACTTATCTACGAAGCATATGAGGTTTCCCTTCCACCTGAAATTTACAAACATTTCAGTGTAAAGACTTTTCCACCTTGCACCAAAATATTTGTCTTGGGGGGGGAAATACGTTCTAGCATCTCCCTCTTCTCTTCATCTGTTGGTGAATCGACTGATGCTTTGGTTAAAGAGCAATCCGAGCACAATAGTGTTTTAACTTGCAAGGCAGTACTCCCTTATTGAGCTGGTAGAACTCCACTAGCTGGATAAGATCTGTAAATCTGGTATGGCCATCATCCAGTGTATAGAATTGCTTCCCATCATCTTCTAACTGCAAAGAAGGAAAACAAAGTGATCATAAACTATAGCATTTATCAGAAATTCAGATTATGCACATTACCAATATTTAATTAAATAAGGCCATTTGACACATTCTTTGTTTAGATAATCACACTCCTCTGTGATGCATTGTTTGTGAGCTAAGAGGATAAAAGTAATGTTCATTCATAGCAAATTCAGAAGTGGTGAGTAAAAAGGAAAAGATACAGAGGGCACTGTCAGGCAGAAACTTTCCTACTGCTTTTTACCAGGACCATGACAAGAAATACATTCTTCTGTGCAGGAGGTAGAAAAAGGAAGAGAAACGGAGAGAGAAAAGAACCCTGCTGCTCTGGCTCCCTTTGCCTAGAGTAGAATAGTAAGTGCATGGGCTGGGAAGGCCAACTGGAAAATATCCACATCAAGGTTACTTTGATTGACTTTCCATCTTTTATGGTCACCATTTCCAATTTTAAATGATTAAAAATGAACACTCCCACACTTTGCAACACACAATTAATTTTGAAGCTATAGCACCTTTGCCTAATGGAATATGCTCAGATTTCTTTTCCAACTGACTGAAGCTTCCTGATACTAACACATTAACTGAAATATCGATCAGTTAATGAAAGAAGGAAAAAAGACAATTTAAGGGTAATGGAAAACAGTGCACAAAAGAACATCCTAAAATAGTGAAAGCATGCCATTGCACGGGGAAAATGTAACCATCCTCTGGAAGCAAGTACAATTAGCTTTCTTACCTGTAGCAAACTTTTTTTCATAATAAGTCTTGTTCTAGTTGTGACTTCGGCCCCTGGCAGACATTAATATAATAATTTGGATCTGAGAAACGTTATGCCTCATCTCCAAAAGTCATACATTCAGCTGTGCCAGATAGGATGTGCCATTTCTGGAATGGGGCATAATGTTCCTCAGATCCTAAAATTTTCAGATCCTGGCACAACTGCCAGGGCTGAATTTAATCCCTGGGCTGCCTTCAATCCAGTCCTGGGGACTGGGCAGGGGGACACTGTTTTCTAGAGGTTGAGGATGCATGGTGCTTGATGCAAATAATTGTTGGCATCACCTGAGGCAGCCCTGGATCCAGTTCAAGACTTAGGGCTCCCCCAGTCCAATCTCTGAAGACCAGGCTGGGCAGGCCTGGATCCCAGACCTGTCCCAGTCCTTATGCTGACAAAAAGCAGACATCATTACATGTAGAACACCTTTGTAGCAGATTTGCTGTTTTATCATGGCATAAATTGGTTGGATGCATGGCATCTTACGACTTATCGCATACCTAAAATCTTAATTTCATCATAAACACAATGGGTCTGACACTTTCCAACCCATTGTACTAAGTCTGTGGGAATGTCTAATCCAGTGGTTTTCAACCTTTTCAGGATTAGGGCACCCTTCCACCACTTTTTTTAGTGTAGTGGCACCTGCAGTTAAGAACCACTGTTGGTGTTGCCTTAACTTACTCCACTGCTTCTCAACTGGTTCTGCTACCTCCAGTAAAAGTGCCCCATATGCTTGGGAAGGGCTGTGACACCTGTGCAAGGTAGTGCTGCATTAGGGATTTCTGATCCACCTAAAGCAGGTGGGAGCTGCTTTGTGCTGCTATTCCACGCCCTTCTACACTTTTCCTGGAAAGCAAAGCATGTGGGTAGGACTGTCCCACACTGATTCAAGTCCTAAAGCAAAAGGAGCAGGCAGGGCAGTTTTACCTGGCTGCTACCACACTGCACTG